TTTTAATTTGATCGTACAAAGATGAATTTGATTATATACTTGTGATACATTAAATAGAACATGCTGTGAAAATAACTCTTTACTGCTAGGGTGACTGTTGTCCCTGCTGAATAATAACACATTGTTTCTATTTCTAAATCTTGAGTCACTTCAACCTTAATAGAAGAATCACCATTCTGATATATGTTTTACTTTTGTCAAGTCTTATTTCACTACCGTCTCTTAAGTTGTCTTAAGTTTATGCTAAATAAAATTTATAAATATCTATTCTTCTAAAGAATAAGAACAAAGTAGAAAGTACTTTATGTTCTGTCACGTACTGAGGAGAGGAGAGGAGACTGCTGAGAGCAAGATTTATGTGGTGTAAATAAATATTTTGTCTAGACATTTTTAAGTACATTAGATTCCATCGTCTGCAAAAAAGGATGTGCCTCTGCAAGGGTGGTAGTGAAGGTTATAACAAATGAAACAATGTATTTAGAAGGTCTTCCCAAAGAAGGTCTTCCTAAATTTTAAATTGTTTAAAAATTGTAGTTATTATAAGTATTTGAATTAACATATTGAGAGGGAATTCTAGACTACCAAATGCTATGCAAATATAAGTTATATAAAACTATTTAATTTTTGCTTTGTTGGACATATTAGAAAGAGAAATCTGGCATAAAGGTAAACAGTCTTGGAATTTATTCAAGAGAATTTGCATATACAATTCTCGAAATAACCTTTTTTATAGTGTTTCCCTTCTACAAAATAAATTAATTAAATTATAGTATAATCATTTGTTTTTTGTAGTCAGCATTATCACTAAGCTTTTGCCCACTCAGAAGACAGGCTAAACATTTTTAATAAATCTCTTAATTAGCTTACCTTACTTGACTTTCATTCATTCTAAATAATCCATATAAGAAAACACACAGGCCAACAATTGCAGCAGGAATCAGCATTCCAGTATACCATCCAAGCCAAGCAAAGTATAGTCCAATCTTCTCACCAAAGTATAGCCTGAATAAGAAAGGAAATCCTTGCCATATAAGAAAACACACAGGCCAACAATTGCAGCAGGAATCAGCATTCCAGTATACCATCCGAGCCAAGCAAAGTATAGTCCAATCTTCTCACCAAAGTATAGCCTGAATAAGAAAGGAAATCCTTAGACTGAATTAAGGCAACAGAGCAATGTTACAAATATTGATGCCACACCTAGTCAGAATTTCAGATGGAAAGTTGAGGCTACCAATTCAGTTGTCTTCAGCTCCATTGGGGGTATATAATACTCCTGTTTGTTAATGAAACTAATAACGGTGATGTTGTTTATTTTAAACATTATCATTATGGAGGAATTTTGTCAAATGTATTTATTTCTGTTCCAAACTTCTTAACATGACTCACAAAGCTTTTTATAACCCAATCCTTGCTTTTCTCCACCCTCCTAATAGCATCTCTTTTCATTCTCCACATCACAGAGCTGGTTTAAACAATATTGCTTTTGGGCAAATTAGAAAAAGGTCTTCCTTCTGGGTGGATGCTGAGAGCAATTTAGATTTCAGCCTCCATCTGCACCACTGGACAGACACCCTTGTGTTAGACAGTATTTGCACCATTATGTCGTATCTTCCTTAACAAAGCTCAACTGCAGTTTCCAGAGCACACAATACTTAATGTTGGTTAATGCTGTTCCCTCTCTTTGGGACACTTAAAGTGAAACAAACAAACAAAAAACAACAAAATATCTTCACCCTCCTCCTCCCCTGTCCGACTTGTATTTGTTCTTCACTTTGTGCTTCTTGCAGGAAGCCTTCCCTTACTCCCACTGCAACTCTGGCTCCATGCCCCTGCTCTTGCTCTCATACTGACCTGTGTTCCAGTACCCCAAAACTTACAACACTTTGTGGCAATTACGTATCACTCCTTCATTCCTCTCCCTCCCTATGAGATTCTAAACTGCTGTGTTTTGCTTCAGTAGCATCCACCACAGGAAGTACTGAATAAAGCTAAGAGAATGAATGTACTCTAGTCTCCTTCAGCTGATGAACATAGTTTATATGGATGGCAGATGAATAAGGCAGTTATAATGACTGTCGATATTAACTGTCACACAGTTTTTAAAGTTTGGTGAAAAATAATAATTTCTTGACTTCTCTACTACCATTTGGTCTCCATCTTCTAAAGATGGCTACTTAACACACAGTTTTGTTCCAGCAATAAAAATTGGTGTCTTACAGCTCATTTGGGAATATTGTACTGAGCAGTGATTTTTGCTGGGAAGAAAATTCTCTTGTCATTTTTCCTTAACAATGCTTCTCTTTCTAAAAAATATTCCCTTTCTACTTCATTGTCCACATTGTGCCAATTAAATTTTGTGCATATTCTACTGAATACAGAGCTGGAGTTATACTCCATTAAGCATAATTTATCCAATTATTTTCTCCTTGGAAACGTAGATCAATAGAATATTTCTTATGCAATGATAATGTTCTACTTTGACACTGAAGCTTATTATATTAACAGGTATTGCAAAAAAAGCCCATTTATTCCCTTAAACAAGTGTTCCTCTGTGGGGTGGAACAGAGTTTATAGCACACGTTACTAACATAACAGAGTATCTTTGTAATAATGATAACAGAGCACTGCACAGACAGACCAGCTTATCCAGACAGTATTTATACTGAGATTTTAAATTACAGATTGTTGAAGGTTAAGAGGAGCAACAATATTATTTGACTGAAGCATAATCACCTAAGTTAAAATAGATTTCAGATCTGTTTCAGGAGATGGAGGAGCTAGTGCCAGGCAAAGAAGGCTAAATATAAAATGTCCTTGAATTAGAGTATTGGTATTCACAATCTTCTAGGACCTGTAAGTATTTCTTTGAGGTATATCACAATCATGAAGAGCAAGGAGGAAGACGGTGTTGCTATTGCTATAACTCCCCATAATGCTTCAACCATAGCCACTCTCTTTCTGTTTTATATATCGGTGTCCCACATGACATTTCATTTGGTGATAGGATACTGCTACTAAAATAACTCCTATCATAAAATAAATAAATGTCGAAATCTATTGTTTTAAGATAATTATTTCATTTAGTGACTTTATTTTTAAATTTAATTTCCTCTGATGCTTATTGTGAAACATTAAAAAAAAATACCACACAACTATTTTGTTAAGCAGGTTTTGTAGCTAACGACTTTTAAAATGTTCTCTTTCTAGTTGCAAATATTTTCCATATAAAAATAGATTGAAACTAAAATAGGCCGGCCTTGGCTACTAAATGTTTGAATTCATTTCTGAAATTGAGGAAAAAATAAAAACACATGTCCAGAAATGGTTATTTATAAAAAGAAAAATGAATTGACAGTCTTTTATATTTCATCTTCCACTAAGGAGCTGCCATTTTCAGCACAGGAGTATAGAGGGTTTGCCTGTGGCTTGCCATCGTCCATGACCAAAGTATATTAAAAACCAAACTCCTCAACACCCTTTTTCTTTCACTAGAGTTAGGAAGCGACACCATAAAAGACCCGTGCCCTCGAAATTTGGTGGTCTTAATAACAATTACTCTGAATAATTAAAACACCACAGATTTTAAGATGATCTTTCTTGTATATGACTTTTATTATGTTGAGATCCTTTCTTTTTATACCTAATTTGCTGAGTCTTTATCATGAAGTGATGTTGAATTTTGTCCAGTGCTTTTTCTGCATCAATTGAGATAATCATGTTTTTTGTCCTTGATTTTGTTGATGTGATGTATCACATTTATTGACTTGCATATGTTGAACCATTCTTTTCTCCCTGGGATGAATCTCACTTGATCATGGTGTATAATTTTTTTGATATGTTGCTGTATTCTGATTGCTAGTGTTTTGTTGAGGATTTTTTGCGTATGTTCAGCAGAGATATTGGCCTGCAGTTTTCTTTTTTTGTTGTATCTTTGTTGGCTTTGGTATCAAAGTGTTGCTGGTCACATAGAATGAGTTTGCAAGAGTGGCCTCTCACCAATATCATCCTGAACAGGAACAAGACAAGGATGTCCATTATCACCACTCCTAGTTACAATAGTACTCAAAGTACTATCCAGAGCAATCAGGAAAGAGAAAGAAATACAGAGCATTGGAAAAGACAAAGTCAAACTGTCCCTGTTTGCAGATGACATGATCCTATATACTGAAACACCTAAAGACTCTACCAAAAACCTCTTAGAGCTGATTAACAATTTCAGTAATGTTGCAGGACACAAAATAAATACCCCAAAATCAGTAGCAATTTTATTCTCCAATAATGAACTAGCAGAAAAAGAAATCAAGAAAGTAAGTCCATTTACAATAGTCACAACAAACAAACAAACAAACAAAAAACGTAGGAATCAATTAAACAAGGAGGTGAAAAATCTCTACAGCAAGAACTACAAATCACCACTGAAAGAAATTAGAGAGGATGCAAAAAGGTGGAAAGACAGTCCATGCTCTTAGATTGGAAGAATCAATATTGTGAAAATTCCCATACTACACAAAGCAATCTACAGATTCAGTGCAATCTCTGTCAAAGTACCAATGGCATTCTTCATGGAAATAGAAAAAACAACCTAACATTCATATGGAACAGCAAAAGACCCCAAATAGCCAAAGCAATCCTGAGCAAAAACAAAAAATAAAGCCAGAGGCATAACACTACCTGACTTCAAATTATATTACAAAGCTATACTAATCAAAACAGCATTGTACTGTCATAAAAATAGACACACAGACCGATTGGTCAGAAGACAGAACCCAGAAATCAATCCACGTACTTACAGTCAACTGAGCTTTGGCAAAGGCAACAAGAACATACATTGGGGAAAACACTGCCTCTTCAAAAAATGGTGCTGGGAAAACTGAATATCAATGTACAGAAGAATGAAACTTGGATTCCTGTTTCCTAAGATCTGTACCTTTCACCATATACCAAAACCAACTCAAAATGGATTGAAGACTTAAGTATAAGATCTGGAACTATAAAACTGTTAATGGAAAACACAGGTGAAAGACTTCAGGAAGTAGGGCTGGGCAAAGACTTTATGAATAAGAGCCCCGAAGTACACGCAACAAAAGGAAAAATAAATAAATGGGATTATATCAAACTAAAAAATCTTCTATACAGCAAAGGAAACAACAGAGTGAAAAAACAACCTAGAAAATGGCAGAAAATATCTGAAAACTATACATCCAACAAGGGATTAATAGCCAGAATATATAAAGAACTCAAACAGCTACACATTAAAAAAAAATCCAATTAAAAAATGAGCAAAGGATCGGGCCGGCCCGGTGGCGCACTGCTGCAGTGCGCCGCTTGGGAAGCGCGGCGGCGCTCCTGCTGAGGGTTCGGATCCCACATACAGA